TTCGAGTGGTCGAAATTCACTTTTGTGAACAATTTGTTTAATCACTTTCTTTGTGTTAAAAATTATTTGAAAAATTAAATTTAAGGGAATTGTTTGTAAATGTGTATGCAACACATCGTACACTTCAGCATAAGAAATTGCTGATATTAACTTTCATTTTGACAAATAAATTGATCTACCTGTATGCCTCTTCCCACATCGAACCAGACGTATACATACTTATGGCAGCTTTTATATCTCCTGCTGCAACGTAATGCACTTCTGCGGACCTGTGTTTGTTTTGGTTTTCTAAATAATGACCGATATGCATATGAGTTGCTTTTAACAGATCTGGATGATATTTCTCAACCAGGCGAATCTATAAAGATATAAAAGAATAACTAGTACCTATGACAAAATCGTGGTATTTTCTGTTAGGTAGAAGCTGAGATATAAATTTGTTCTGAAGCAATATTTCAAGTGCATTTATTACACCTCCAGTTAATTTGACTTACCACATGATCGAATTCTTCGGCTTGCTTGTACATTGTGATAGCTAGATCAGGTGTCCCTAACATTATGTACATATCTTCTGCTTCTCTGTATTTTTCGTTTTGTTGAAGAAAGTCGGCTTTCTTTAGGAACATATTTTCCGTTTCCTCATGTGAAAGATATTTGGTAGCTAAGGTGTATGCCATTTCCCATTTACCCGCTTCCATATACATTTCTATCGCTTTGGTAGGAAGTCCTCCGTTCACATACATCTTCTCCGCTCCAGAATAATCCTTAAAGGTGTCCAAGGAGTAAAAATGTGATAAATTAAATTACTAGTAAATATAGCAATATTGGCACCTAGCAAATAGGAGTTAGAGATAACTTTAAATAAAATGGAAGCGGTATTGGGATCCGTCAAATGGGAGGAGCCTAAAAACATGGCGCCGATTAGGGAAAATTTATCGTAGTTCCTATAGTGTACCGTGCAATTTCCAAGTTTTTAAATGACGATAAAATGATAAGTATTGACACGATATGTGATTGGGCTGACACAAAGCCTCGGAAAGGAAATTTCGTTGAAGATGAGCGTGTTTTTAATGCCAATCACATTATAAAATTCGGAAATAAGAAATCCGGAAGCTAGCCTTCAAATTCTTGCTGAAATATAATCATGTGCATTAAAATGACGTGAACAAATTTTTATTCCGGAATTCACTTCTTTGATACCTGCTGCTTTCATCCAAGTTTACTTTTTTCTCTAATTTTCCGAATATATTTTTTACATATATAAAACGGTTAGTTTTTATTAGAAAGTAGTTAATGTAGGTGAAAAGTGAAGATCTATGTCTGAAGTGCTATTGCAGCTTTTCACTGAACATATTAACTTTTTATTTGATTTAACTTTAGAAGAAAACTTCGTCGACTCCATCATCAAAAAAATTTTTCTTTTTTTAACGTGTTTTATTATTTTGATAAACACTTTTACAATTTGCGTGCACAGTTCCTATGTAAACTTTTCCCTCATTCGAGTTATATATTTTGCCACCAGATGGTGTATGCCCATTTGACGGATCCGAATTGACAAAACAGTATTGAATGAAAATAAATAAAAGTAAAACAAAAATACTGGTATTCAAGGGAAGAAAAAGTAGGGAAAGAGCGAATATAAAGATAGGAGACGAAAACTTAGAAGAAGTGGCTGATTTTAGGTATCTAGGAAGTCAGATAAGTCAAGGCGGAAGGAGTAATAGGGATATAAAGTAGATGATAGCGCAGGGTCGAGTCGCCTTCAGCAAAAAGACATCACTTCTATGCTCGCGAACGGTTAGTTCAGAAATTCGAATTTTTGAAATAGGAATAATCTGTTTGTCACTAATAAATTTCAATGCTAATTGGATTTATTTTTATTAGTAAATTATTTAACGGCAAACCTACATACCTTGACACTTTGCAAGTGTTGTCCAATTAAATCGTAATAATGTTGAACGGATTGTGGATCAGAAATTACTTGGATTATGTGAATTGCTTTCTTCCACTGATGAGCAGCGATTGCTGCGTCCAAGGCTTTCCTGCTTCTTCCAGCTTCAATAAAATGATTAATGGCTGCGTCCATTTGTTTATTTTCCATCAGATAATCTCCCCATTCTTCTTCCAAATCCACGACTTGATGCGGATTAACAACCCTGGCCAAATCCAATGCTTTGCTCCACAATTTACCTTTGGAAAGTATATAAACAAATCAAAGTACAATACTTCATTGAAACAATATCAATGTCTTTGATGTATAACAATGGTCTCTCTCACCTTTTCTGTAACATGCGATTGCCATTTCCAAATTATTGAGACTTTCATAAATTTCTGCAGCAGGTTCGAACAATTCATGTTTCAACAAGATCTTCAAAACATTGAGAACCAACGTTTCATTTTCCATCAATTGCTTCCTATTCTGTAACAGTTTTGCCGCTTTCACGTAACATTTCGACTTGAGATAAAGACTGAGGGCTTCTTGGTGTTGTCCTTCATCTTCCAATACGTCACCGGCTTTTGAAAACTGATCTGTTTCCATCAGGTGTCGCATATGTTCTTCTTTCAAAGCATCCAATTTCTCGTAACCTTTTTGATTTGCTAATCTAAAAATAAAAATTTTGCCCTTATTCTATTATTTTCTAAACAGTATTTTCTTTTTTAATGCATTTGGATAGACATCAATTAGGATTTTCTAGAGTTCTAAATCATGTAAAAGAATGAAATTACCTGATAGCTTTATCCCATTTGTGATATTTCTTGTACATATCAAGAGCCGCTTTAATGTTCCCTTGTTCTAAGTAGATATTTTCGGCCGTGCTGAGATCGCCGTTTAGAAGAGCCAGACGAATCCAAACTTCTGGACAATCGTCTATCGAGCTTCCATTATTTTTCGAGTATTCAAGCCCTTTTTCTAGTGTTCCTTGCAGGAAAACAGACGCGGTCACATTGTTGAGACCTGCATGACATCTGGACGCCAGTAACAAATTGTTTTGCTTGTATGATTTTTGCAACAAATTGTACCACATGGCTTCTGCTTCCGAAGGCTTTTCTATTGTTTCCAGGTATAAAGCGGCTCTACCGTAATCGTTCTCATGTATTGCAGTTCCTATACAATTTATAATGTACACTTATGAAAAATGGTTAAAATAGACGTCCTTTTAGTTGGCAGGACAATTTTTGGCGAACTTTTAAAATAAATATTAGATTTAGATGCGAAAACAAAGGAAGAGAAAATCAATTCTGGAAGAAAGAAGAAAGGAGACGAAGAAATTGTATGGAAAGTCTGGAAGTGCTTCCTGTTCCGAATTTTACATTATACATATTGGACTATGAATTAGTATTCCGGGTGATCAGCAAATAGGCCGGAATTTTCAATACATGGGCCTTGGCAATCTATGCCCTACCGGATAGTATTTTTGGCATATATAGAGCAGAAAATTGTATAATATAATGAGTATTTCATCTTACCAAATTCTACCAATCCTTCATCAAGTTCGAAACTGTACGTATTTCGATCATCAGTAGCAATGACTTCAGTTTTTCCATTTTTTCTCACTACATCCACCACTTCTCCTTGAACGTTCATGAGATTAGGATTATCTGGCAGGTCGATGTTGTACCATATGACAAGATTATTTCCTGCTTGGGCAACCACCACGTCACTTTCTTCAACCCATTGTACAAAACCCACCCCACTGTAGATGCACCTTTTTTCCCCTGTGGTGACGTTAACTAACATTAACCTGTGGAATGGTTTTTTTATACATTGGTAAAGATCAAACAAAATGTGTCATTAAAAGTTTGCTAGGATGAAGAGAAATGTGAAGATCGAGTTGATGTTGTCTTTCGTGGTATTTTCCTGTGGTCCATGGAATTTCGTTATCATTTGCTGACATCTTTAGTGGTGACTTGACCAGTGTTGAATTGTAACTGATACATCAATATTCAATAAAACCACGTAAGACAACATCAAATCTAAAAAATGATTGATCTGTGTTGATTTTTGGTATATCTTGTGTGAAGTACCTTTGTTTTCTATCTCTAAAAAGTAGCCTGTGTCCAATTTCACTCAGTTCAATCCAGTCGATTTTTATATCGTGATTTACTTGAGCCAAAGTCACATTGCTCACCAAGTCAACAATACAAATCGTTTTAAGGTCCAATAAGTACGCCAATTTTTTATTGTCTTCTTGATTTTTTCTTTCGTTAACGCGGACGCTTAAGAGGTGGGGGTTCGCAAATTCTGTTCTAATTGAGCCTAATATGTAATTCACTCCATATTCCACCAAATGTAATTCTCCAGCGTTGAAAATGAGACACACGGTGGGATATTCGAAATAGAATTTCTCTTTGTTACTTGTTTTACCCCATGGAACCTACAAAAATCAGTAATAGTGTCTTGATGTTGGTTTTTAAAGGGTGAGGGTAGTTTAAAAGTCTTCACAAGATCATCGATGATGTTTTATCTGACTTCTGGAGACAAATTAATAAGTTTTAAACGCAGGGTGGGATTTATTAATGCCCTTCTTATTCAAATGTAAAAATTTTCAAAAATAAACAGTGTATACCTCGCTGATGCAGTTTTGTTGAAGATTTCCTATTATCAGTGTACTTTCAGTTCTTGCAACGACAAAATTGTCCTTCCCCATTAATTTAATATCATCTATGTCCCTGCCATATTGAGAAATAATGGTCATGCTCCTTTTGTCATTTAAAACATTAATGAGTACCTGGTTTTGAGCCACGTATACAATTTCGAATTTATCTCTGATTATGGCTCTCTTAATAACTACAACCGAAACGCATTAGCTTTGTATAAAATAAAAAGAAAGAAAGGAGAAGTGGATTAAAAGTTTCTTAGGAGCAATTCGTGTGACATATTATGTTAGGCCGGTTGTCCACGAATCCGATTAAACTGTGACTGATACGGATCGAGTCGTTTGTAGTACGTCCGTTAATACGACGTTGATCGGTCAACTAATTGAATTAAAAAGCAGACCGTCCGTAATTAATGTGTTTACTGAAAATGTCAAAAGCGCAGGCGCCGGTTGTATTGCTCTTGGATATATCTGTATATTAAAAATAATCGGGGAAAAGGTGCGTTTATATGTGTCGGTAGATTCAAGTACTTATCGAATGTTAAAGAGAGTTTTAATGCATTTGAAAGGTATGAGATTTTCATTGCCTAACCGTCGCCGTTCCGACTTCTGTCTGATCGGCTTCGTAGACAATCGGCCTTAAGATTTAAAAAAACACCCAAGAAAAATTGTCGCGACTACTAAAAGTATATGCGTGACAAACAAGGATATACCTAAAAAACACGCGGAGGAAGTTTCAGTGGTGATTCTTGATGTATGTTTATTTTCAAAATTATAATTATTAAATTTGATAAACTAGGCACTTTTGACGCTGAATCAGAATCAGCATTTACTTTTTAATATTCCTGATAGTAGGCAAAGCCCCAAACAACTGTTGAGTAATTTAGTGTTTTAACGGAGGCAATATTAGTGATGCAGTGCATCGATCTATTTATCTATTGATTAATTATATCAATTTTAAATATGAAGATTGGAAAAACTTTTAGTTTACTTCAGTCCCTGAAGAAGGTAACTTTGTTACCGAAAAGTGCTTCGGACAACTACAGTGTCGTGTTTTGGCGTTGGGGTTTTGAGCTATTCTGTTTGTTCATCAATTTTAAAGAAAAATAATAAATTATAGTTTCAAGAACTTTATTATTGTACACACTAGAATACTGTTTCACTACACTGCGGAGTCATTGGGTGATGAGTGTGATTACCTGTTTCGAACATAAAAACGGCGCCCGTAAGCGAGCTACAAGCCACCTTTGATCCGTCTCTTTTCCAAGCTATAGCCGAGACGGTGTAAAAATTGTTGATTTCTTTGGGTAAACCTTCCTCCCATGCCGCCTCCTTTGAATTCCACATATATACTCTCACTCTGTTGTAGCCGCCTACCAGCACAGCCTATAATTTGTGAAAATGTTTTGTAATTTTCGTTTTCTTTGTTATTTTTGCTGACCGCATTAACGTTTGGATTCGTATTTGATTTAAGGATTCGCCTCGGAATTAACAAATTGTGGTAAGATATTTAATTTAAAATATTAAAATAAAAAACGGAACCCTTATAGGATTACTCGTGTATCTGTCTGTCCGTTTGTCACAGTCAATTTGCTCCGAATGTACTAGGCCGAGTAGGTTCAAATTTAGTGCATATATGAAGTTTTGTGACGCAAACACGGACGCATAAAATCAATAAATTAATTTTGACAGGGGGTGATTCTTCGGGGGGCCAACAGGAAATTAAAAAGTTTTGAAAACGGTGTCGTATGGCATATCAAATGAAAGGGCTTGTTCTAAGGGTCTCAAATATGTTTTTTAAAATTTTAAAATAAACACCTTGGTTTAAAGTTATTTAAAAAAATAGATGAAAATTGACCATTTCCCCCTCCCTTTATCTCCGAAACTACTGAACTTAAAATTGTGAAAAAAATACAGAAAATAGCTCTTTACTTATTGATTGCAGCAAAATTAATAAAAACTCTATGGTCTGAACATAATGTGGTAAATCTTTCAAAAAAAGAATATTGTGTGCACCAATTTGCATTTGCAGTTCTCCCATACATGAAAAACTGAACCTTTATAACATCACTCCTATGTCTGTCTGTCCGTTTTTTTTTTTTGTGTCATTACATGAGGTAACAACTACGACTGCTAACGAAATTATTAGCGTAATGCTCTATCGTACGATTCGTTCAAAATTGGAAGGGTTGTAAACTAGTAATAAATAATTCGTTACCTGTGAACTAGGACTACCACATGCTATGGAAAAATCGCCCTCGTCTAAGCTACGACTGTAATCGAACTGTTTTATACTCCTCCCATTCATATTATATATGACAATCCTTCTGTCACATCCCCCAGCTATAATGTGCCCCTGTACCCACGCCAATGCGCTAGGCGCTACCGAATGAGTTACAACTTTTCCATTCAACTCTTTCTCTGAATGGTCACTAGTAATGCTGTATCTTATAATATTTCCCTCGGTATCACCTGAAAATGTTAATTAATAGTGACAAAATCATCACTTCAATAATTTTCATTGTAATTTGGTTATATCGCTTTAGCGACCATTGTTTTATAGTAAAGTGTTTAAAATAAAATAATTTGAAGTGGTCTGTATTCTGTCGAAACTGCCAGACGCGGATCGTGATTTCGATCGTTTTGGACCTCATCAGCGCGTCGCAGACAGCTCTGACAAAACACAGACCAACTTTTACCTGCTGTCTTAACAGCGCGTTTTAGAAAATACCACAAATGATGCGGTAAACGCCATCTGTAGTACGATGCTACATTTTAGGATTACTTATGCTCCAACAAGGTCCATTTAAATCTACTTAATCCTAAAATGTAGCATCGTATTACAGATGGCGTTTGCCGCTCCATTTGTGGTATTTTCTAGTAAAGTGTTTCTTTATTGGATAATTATTTTTATTCATTAAGTAAATAACAGAAAATTTAAATGTTACCTGACAGGAATGCATTTCCTTTAGGGTTGGCGGCTAACGACACAATTATGTTTTGAGTGGAATATAAATTACTAGATTTATTATTTTTCACTTGCAATACTCTTACTTTTCCATCGATTAAGCCGCATACAATAGGGCCAGCCAGTAGCCATATCATACATGTTACGGGAGAGGGTTGAAAAAACTTGTTACATATTACCTTAAAAAGTTTATGTAATTTTATGCATTATTATTTAGATTTTAGGTGCATTACTACGAGACTGTTATTTATCAGAAAAAATTATGACTAATTTATCATTTGTGGTTTATTTGTTTACCACAATCAATTTCTTAGGACTTCACTAAACCTAAACAATTTAGATAGGGGTTTATCGGTGGTCAAAGTATTGATAACAAATCTATGACAGAGAATGTGAATATTTTTTAATTAATGCTCAAACTGAAATAACAAATGAGAAAGAATATTTTGCAAAACTTGAATGTATCTGTAATATTTTCGCAATAAAAAGGGGGTAAAAACAGTAAATTATGTATTATTGGGATCCATCAAATGGGAGGAGCCTAAAAACATGGCGTCGATTAGGGAAAATTTATCGTAGTTCCTATAGTGTACCGTGCAATTTCCAAGTTTTTAAATTACGATAAAATGATAAATATTGACACAATATGTGAATGGGCTGACACAAAGCCTCGGAAAGGAAATTTCGTTGAAGGTGAGCGTGTTTTTAATGCCAATCACATTATAAAATTCGGAAATAACAAATCCGGAAGCTAGCCTTCAAATTCCGTCAAGTTTACTGCCTACTTTTTACAAACTTCGGATTTAAAAAGTGATTCAC